GAGTGAAAATGGCCTATTTTAGCTTTAGGTTCTAAAGGGTTAAAACATAACACGTTTTATTTACAACTTCAAAAAAAATGTTTTCCCTGTGTATGAGGGAATAAGGGTGTACTCGGGCGATTTGAACCGTGCCCAAGCAAAGCTATTATTTTGTGTGCGCTACTGTCATCAATACGACCGCAAACATATTCTATTACTACTACACTACACTTTTCAACTAATTAAATTAAATCAAGTATGTTTAGGCTTGTATCGGTCTGGTTCTCCCCTTACGTGTCTGACAATAAAAGAAAGCGTTACTGTATTCTAATTACTTTTCCTGATAATGCAGTAATGTAATGCGTTAAGAGTTTAAATTTATGTAATTTGTTTACAGCTACTAATGTCATTAAAATTATGTCACTTAAGTTACAAATGCAGTGTTAAGAAAAAATATGAAGTAAAATGCATTTTAATATCATGTTTGCGCGTCAGTATGCCCTTTAATAAATCACTGGAGAATGCGAGCTAAAATGCAGACGAGTTGTACAACATTTGGTAATGAAAAGTTTGCTTATCATATTTCAAAATGTTGCACTAGATTTCACATCTTTTAGTCTGGCATTATAGTTTGGGAAAAGTTCAACTAGTAAATGTGTAAGTTTATGTCACAATAACACTAATAAATAGCTTAAATAAAAATAAATGACTCATCAGAATGAGATCCTCCGCTGGATTAAGCCGAGCGTCACATCGCATTCTTCTTCTTCTGAGGTAAATACAAGGCTTACTCCTCACACCGCGAGGAAAACATTACTCTATATATTACGCTACATTCCTCAAGTAGCCTAGATGAACTTGATTAATCTTAACGCTTTGTTTACAGAGGTGATGTGTTCGTTTATATGTTCGCGCATCTCACGTGGATGATTATCATATATAGCGCAATGCGCATGAGTGTGACCACATTATAGATGAGCTCAGGCGGGAAAGACTGTATCTCGTGGTGGATTATTTTATCAGAGAATATTTGTTTTCGGCATGACTTACTTAATGTAAAAATAGACACTTCAAGCTTTCTTTAGATATATTTCTCATGTCTGTGTGTCATTCAGTTTTCGTTCATTCGCGAAGACTGACTGCTGAAAGCGCACCCTATCTGTTTTCTTTATTTTACAAAATCACAAAGTTTTGTTGATATTGCGTGTACATACAAATAAAAGTAAACGTTTTACAGTTTCGAATGATGCAGTACTCTTATCCGCATGATCAAAAATGATGAAACATTTGAAGTTCTTTTCACTGTTATCATGAAAAAATGCAAGTGATCGCTCAAGTTGCCGTTTAAATAATTGTGTGACGAGAGGGGCGGGGCCGAGAGCCGTGGGAACGGAGCGAGGCTGGAAATTGGAAAGAAGCTGAAATCATGCTGATCCATACACTGTAGTAAAAAATGGAGAAAATTAATGTGATTTTTACTTCAAGTTCCACTGTTGCACTCTATATGAATAGCTTAAGATCATTAGTCACCAAAAATATTTTCATCTTATAAATATGACTAAACGCGTGTTAAATAAAGCTTGCATACAGATATCAGTAACTCACAGCTGCTAGCTTGTCGAAACGGGCAAACAATTCGTTCAGCAGCTTCACCAGCTCTTGCGCGCTACAGAACGAGGACAGCTGAGTGAAGCCCACGATGTCTGCGAACAGAATACTGCAACACAAACACAGTCAACGTCAAACAATCATCAAACGACGACATCAAGCTTTGCCCTCGTTTACTGAAACACTGCTGGTAATCGTAACACACTGACCTGACGTTCTCGTGCCGATACATGTACATGGTGTTAAACTGCTGCATCTCTTTCTGACTGGCTTCTTTCTTCATGTCCTGAAGCATCTCGTCTGCAATGTGCTTGGGTAAGATGGACAGCAGGAGACGCTCCTGTGTGCAGAAGAACAAACGTTGATTATACACCCATATACTCAAACGTTCCTTATACACCCATATACTCACCCATATTCCCCATTTGGGGAAGTCGTGGCCTAATGGTTAGAGAGTCGGACTCGTAACCCAAAGGTTGCGGGCTCAAGTCTCGTACCGGCAGGGATTGTAGGTGGGGGGAGTGAATGTACAGCACTCTCTCCCACCTTCAATACCACGACTGAGGTGCCCTTGAGCAAGGCACTGAACCCCCAACTGCTCCCCGGGCGCCGCAGCATAAATGGCTGCCCACTGCTCCGGGTGTGTGTTCACGGTGTGTGTGTGTGTGTGTGTGTGTGTGTTCACTGCTGTGTGTGTGCACTTAGGATGGGTAAATGCAGAGCACTAATTCCAAGTATGGGTCGCCACACGTCACTTTATTTTTTATTTATTACTATCTGCATCTGCAGAATTTATGGATATATTCACACAATTCTGCTACTAATATGAAAACACAATACTCTTAAATGAACACAAATTTTAAACCAATTTTACTGTGTTTAATTCCATTTTTAATCATGTTTAATTCCAAGAAAAAAGAAATGCAATGCATTGCATTTCATTTCATTTTTTTATCGTGTTTAATTCCAAGAAAAATACAAGAAATTAAAACAACAATAACAGAAAAATAACAGATATACACCATGTATATCTGGTCCAAACAGGATTTGTAAAAATGATTGTTTTTTAGAGTTGTCAAACGATTAATTGCGATTAATCGCATCCAAAATAAAAGTTTTTACATAATAATAATAATATAAATATATAAATGTATGTAAATATTTTCAAAATATATACTGTATGTGTGTGTATTTATATGTACATAATAAATAAACACAGTACACATACATATATTATTAAAAAAAAAAACTTATTTTGGATGCGATTAATCGCGATTAATCATTTGACAACACTAGGCTTTTTATATGTATATCATTTATACATATATATATATATATATACATAAACTGAATAGAGAATATAAAAAAACTAAAAACTGAACAGAAAATATTTTTTTTATTCTACAAAACAAGAAAAATAAAAAGGACCAGAAAATAATTTTTACAAATTCGAAAAATAAAAAAACTGAACAGACAATTATTTCTAAAAATTCTATAAAGAAAAAAACCACACAGAAAATATTTTTTATAAATACTAAAAAGAAAAACCTATACAGAAAATATTTGTAAATTCTATAAAACAAGGAAATAAATGGAACAGACAATAATTTTTAACAAATCTAAAAATAAAAAAACTGAACAGACAATCATTTCCAAAAATGTTATATATATAAATAAAAAATAAAAAAAACTGAACAGAAAATATTTTTTGAAAGTTCTAAAAAAAAAAAAAAAAAAAGAATCCGGAAAAAAA